GGGAGTGAACTGTAGGAAGCATTACCGGGAAAATGGAAACCCAACTTTATCACTGCAGTAAACAAACTTTTAAGGCTTTGCTTCGAAAAGTCAGCATGACAGACAGTGTAAGCTCTAAAGAGGTTCCACCTCAATGACCAAACAACAAGCTGGTTTAAAATGGGAAAAATATGGAAGAAATGCATTAAAGAGATACCAGTGACTAATAAAGACATTAAAATATACTCAGCATCATTTACTTATCAATAGACATTCAGGGTCAAACAGTAATGAAATACGACTTTGCACCTATTAGAAAGTCTTTAAATAAAGGCCTATAGGTGTATAATCACAAGTGTTGACCAGCGTGGGGAACAGCTATAACGTTCACACATTGTGGGTAGAAGTATAAAATAATCCTTTAGAATATGTTTGAGATTTTCTTGTAAGGTTAAACATAAAGGCTTACCATAAAAACCTATCAACTCTGCCCATTTAAGAGACATTAAAATGTATATCCATACACATATTTGTATGTTATCATTCTCAGTGCTCTTGCCCACAGAGGGCAAATGATGGAAGCTATTTAAATATTAGTTAGCTGGCGAGTGAACAGAGAGACTGGAGTTTGGTCACACAGTGGAATGCTACTCAGAAATGGGAAGGAACTACTGAAGCATGCTAAAAACATGCATGAATCTCAAAAGTATCAAGCTAAGTAGGAGACAAGTCCTTAAGATCACATATGGTTTTATGCTGCTTACATGACATGTCCAGAATAAGGAAATATCTGGGGGAAAGTACATTAGTGGTTGATGTGGGATTCCCCTCTGTATGCTGTGATATAGTTTTTGTGATTATTTGGGGGATGAGCAAATGGAAACAAACAAGTGGCCCTCCTTACAACACGTGGTTATCTGGATGTAAGGACGGAAATGAAACTTATCATAAATGGGCAAAAATGGAAACCATGTAGCTTGAATAGATTACTAATGTGGTTATTGGGACCCAGAATGGGCTACTCAGCTATACTGCTTGGAGGCAGAGTAATGAATGAATTTGGGAAGTTTGAAGACCTATGATCTTAGAAAATAAAAGGTAGTTTTAGGAGAAAGAAGGTACAAATCAGTAGATCTTTTTTTAAAATATTTATTTATTATGTATACAGTATTCTGTCTGTGTGTGTGTCTGCAGACCAGAAGAGGGTACCAAACCTCATTACGGATGGTTGTGAGCCACCATGTGGTTGCTGGGAATTGAACTCATGACCTTTGGAAGAGCAGGCAATGCTCTTAACCACTGAGCCATCTCTCCAGCAAATGTAAACATTTTTATTTAACTTTTATTTATGTGTATGGGATGCAAGTGTCACGACATGGATGTGCAGAAGTCAGTTCTGTTCTTCTACCATGTGGGTTTTGGATGAAACACAAGTTGTCAGGCATGGTGGCAAGCTACTGTATCCACTGAGCCATCTCACCAGTATTCCCCACCCCAAACATGTACTTTCTCAAACTGAAAACACAAACATCTAATCTCAAATGTTGCATTTCTCACTAATGGCAAGCCCAAGATCACAGAGGAAATACAATGGATTATATGCCCTACCTACGTTCTAGGATCTGGATAATTCCAAATTTCTTTATCTATTACAGAGATAGCTCAGTAAATCAATAAGGTCTCCATTCTCAAGACTATATGGAAATGATTTCATTGAGCCATATCAATGACCTTCCCAAAACTATGTAAGGAGGGGCAGGACTTTAACTGTCTATAATCTTCGAAGTGAATCTATCCTATTTCTGTTAGACATTATGTGATCAATGAGAAAGTACTCACAGACAGACTCACGGCATTATTTACTTATTTCATGGAAAAACAATAAAAGAGAATTGACTTTTCAAAGTCAAACTTGCATCAAAACTTAGAAATCTACTTCTTTATTGCCACTTCTCCAATAAACACCACACATTTAAAAAGAAAACAAAAGGGGTTAGAGAAATGACTGAGCAGTTAAGAGCACTGGCTGCTCTTCCAGGGGACTCAGTTCAATACCCAGCACCCACATGGCAGCTCACAACTGTCTGTAATTCCAGTTCCAGGGGACCCAACACCCTCACACAGACATACATGCAGGGAAAACACCAACACACATAAAATAAAAAAAATCAATCAATAAATAAATATTAAAACAACAACAACAAAGACTCCTAAGGTAACAGAATTCTCAAAGCTCAGTCCTCTTTCCTTCTCCCCTTGACCCTAGTCCAGAAGAAAAACTTGTTAAATACTGACTACCCTAGTTTTGGCATAAGAAATACAATATTCAGAAGCAATACCAGTAAGGAGAAAAACAGAAATTAGAAATGTTCAGTTGTTGAATTTTCTTATCCACTCATACCTGCATTCTTCATCACTTTTAATGAGAGGATCAGAGCCGACGGTGCCCACCAGGAACTTGGGACTAAGCAAAGGCAGGCGAACATGCTGCAGCACCTACGGGATAATAAACACAATTAAGGCATAGCAGGCATAGCTCCCATTACAACTTGTTAGGAGTACTGACTCATGTTTACTGACTGCAGCCAGAAGTTTTGGGATCTAATAATCAGTTTAGAAGGGTGTAAGAGATAAAGAGTAAATCTAAAATTTATTCTATCGATTCAGTAATGTAGACTAATTATAAAACCATATACATACTAGTATCACTTTAGAATGCTACTTTAGAATGCCAGTATCACTTTTAGAATGCTTTCATCAATAACTTCTAAACTCTTAGACTATACTTTCCAGGTTGCAGAGATGTCTCAGCACTTAAAAAGTACTTGCTGCTCTTGCAGAGGATCTGGTCATATGCCCAGTATTCACGTGTTGGATGTAACTCCAGTTCCAAGGAATCCAAAGCCCTATTCTGACCTTTGTGGGCACCAGACACACACATAATGTACTTACATACATGTAGGCAAAACACTCACACATATAAAATAATAGAATAAATAAGAAAATATTAAAAAAATACACATTCCCCTTATCTTTAATTTTGTTTTCTGCATTTTCAGTTATTGGTTGTCAACTTTGGTCAGACAACAATAAATGAGAAATTCCAGAAATAAAAACTTGTAAGTTAAGTAATGTTTATTACAGTACTACTATAAATGTTGTTTATAATTACTTACTGCTAGTCTTTACTGGATCTAATTTATAAAAAAACTTTATCACAGAATATATATACTTATACTGAAAAAACCCACAGGGTATGTAGGGTTTGGCATTTTAGGCATCTTTTAAATATCGTGAAAATGCATCTCTTCTGAGTAAGGCGGACTACAGTCATGACAAGAATGAGTCTTAAACATGTGACTGCTGAGCCCACCTACTTTTCAAAGTGTGGTAGGACTTCCAACCTAAGGAAGCAGATACATTCCTGCTTTCTTTTGTAATTTTATATAATTTCTGAAGTGTGTAACAGTTGAGACAGAATGAATCCCAAATAGACAGGAAGCAAAGGAGCAGTAAGTTCCCAACAATAAGCAGGCAAATGCTTCTGAAGCTCACTGCCTCGATCATGTGGAGATAAGGGCTGTTTTGTCTCTGTACATTACTTGTGTCTAGTACAAAGTAATCTCTCGGAGAAGCATTTTGACTCTTACCTGGGGTAACTGAGGACGCCTTTCCTGAATACTGTATTTGACCCAGGCCATCACTGCATTGAACACTTGTTCTTCACTCCGAACATTGAGCTCATCACTAGATATTATATCAATAAGTTGGTTGGCTGGAAGTAACATAAATTCTTCACTCTCCATTACCTGCTCGGATTTAGGTAGGAAAAAAGGAACCTATAAGCACAATTTTTACCTTTATTTGTTTTGTTGTTGTTCTTATAGGGAAAATTATATTCTACAATGTTTAAAACAAGGAGGGCTGGAGACATGGCTCAGAGGTTAAGAGCACTGGCTGCTCTTCCAGAGGTCCTGAGTTCAATTCCCAGCAACCACATGGTGGCTCACAGCCATCTGTAATGAGATCTGGTGCCTTCTTCTGACCTGTAGGCATAATTGTATACATAATAAACACATAAATCTTTAAAAAAAAAATCAAGGAGGCCGGGAGGCGGTGGCACACGCCTTTAATCCCAGCACTCCGAAGGCAGAGGCCGGCAGATCTCTGTGAGTTCAAGGCCAGCCTGGTCTAGAAGAGCTAGTTCCAGGACAGGAACCAAAAGCTATGGAGAAACCCTGTCTCGAAAAACAAAAACAAAAACAAACAAAAAAAAAAAAATCAAGGAGGAAAAGAAAAGTTTCAAAAGAGAATAAAGGAGAACAGGAAATACACAATGTTACCAAAGTTAATCTTGTTTAGTTAGTTTAAAAGTCCCCCCCCTTTTTTTTTTTCTATTCTATGGATTAAAAAAACAAATATTAGCAGGCTGGGGAATGTAGCCCAGTGGTAAAAGTCTTACTTAGTGTGTGCAAGGGCCTGGGTTCTCTCCCCAGCACTATAAACCACCATGAGGTCTGCACTGAGATTTTCTCTGGCCATACTCAGAAGGGCTGTAATGAATAAAACAAGCTAAATCAGATGCTGAAAAAAATGAGGGTAGGAAAGACCTCTTATGCATGGCTACTAAGAACATATATTAATTTTGCTGCTATAGAAAGTGGTACGTAATTTCTCAGAAACTGAAGGAGAACGATCCTGTGGCGTGACTTAGATACAATCAAAGGAGTCCCCGTCAGCATGGAGTAGATGCCTGCAGAGCCATCTTCACTGCAGCACTGCTCACAACAGCCACGTCAGGGAGTCCGTCTGGGGTCCATAATGGACAAGGGAAGAAAATGTGGTAGACACAGTGGAAAGGTTTTCCTTACAGAGTACAAAGTTAGCTGCCCACAGTGGCTCTGTCAGTAATCTCAGCACTTGGGAGGCTGAAGGGGAAGCATTCCTGTCAATTCAAGGCCAACTTTGGCTCCTTAACACTACTAATCTGACTGTTTTCTAGTATCAAAATGCTTATACTTACTTAAGGCCAATGACCTTAATATTAATTTTCAGATGTTTCCTGGAAATATAATATACATATAAGTAGGAAGTATGTGCAATATATGTTAAGCTTTCTTTTGAAAAAACTTATTCATTCTATTACTTTTGTATGTATGAGTGTTTTGCCTGCATGTATGTGTGTACCAAGTGCATGCCTGGTGCCCATGGAGGTCAGAGGATGTCAGATCCCTGGGACTGCAGTTATAGACAGTTGTGAGCCGCCATGTGGGTGATGGGAATTGTACCCAGGTCTTCTGCTAGAGCAACAAGTACTCTTGAGTGCTGAGCCAATGCTCCAACTCTATGAAAGTCCTCTTAAAAGAAACTCTGCACTTCTGACCATATGCTTCTGGTTTACTTTTCTCCTTTTCTATCACCCAGTGCCAGTCACTCCATCGCTAACTACCCGTCAGTACTGGGAAGGCTGCAAGGCGCTCCTCTATCTCCGCAGGGGCTCTCATTGGCATTATTTAATCACATTTATGGAGCTGTTTTAAAAACAAAAAAGCTTCACATATTTAGAAGCTAAATCTAATTTTTTCCTTTATGACTTCTAGGTTATATCTCACTTAAAAGAGACTTGAACCAAGATTTAATCTCAGGCTAACCCTTCAAGGAATAAAGACCCATAGAAAGAGTTGCCTGTTCAATACCAAATACAGAACCTCAATCCACCTCTTCAAACTCTCTGCTTTCTAGTACACATAGTATAAGTTCCTGAGAATGCCGGGTTTAAAAGTCGGCGTAAAGAGTTATCTTTATAGATACTGCCAAATTTCCTTTCGAGAGGTCGTGTCAATGCATATTTATACCAGTAATGAACCTAAGTCCCACAGCCTCACCAAGAAGATATATTACATTTAAGGATAATTGCAACCCAAAAGATGGTGCTTTGACCAGATATACTAGGTGTGTCTACAAATGTTAGCACGTAAGGGGCTGAGGATGGCTGATGCTGAGTTCAAGGCCTAGGCTGAAAAGTAAGACAGCATCTCAAAAAACAAAGCTGGAGGGAAAAGGCACTTTGGTGAGTTGTAATTTGTCTTTTCGTTGTTTTTGAATAAACAAGTAGACTTTCAGGTATTTAAGGACAGTCTAAATTTCTCTCTCTGTATATTGTCTATTTTTCTGCTAGCTCTCTAGTATGAATTACTGGTGCTCTCAATGCATTAAGTAGACTAGCCTTTTGATGGTAAATAAAGGTTGCAAATATTTCCCTCAATTTGTATTTGGCCTTTGTTTTAGTATCACAAAAAAAATTCTATATGTGATAAAATTGATGGTTTTGACTTTTAGCCTTTCTAGTTTAACACTTAGAAATGCTTCTTCATTTCCAGATCAAATAGGGATTGTTTCATATTATTGCCATGCTGAATAAATAATAAAAGTGAATTTAATGAAAATTCTTTTGGTACCATCTAAATTTCTTTTTTTTTTTTTAATTTACCAAATAGTTGGTGTATAACTTATCCTGTTGAATAAACTGTCTAATCAGGAGGGAAATGTATATAGGAAATCACTTCTCTGATGCACAGGTCCATTCATGCATAAACAAACCATTTTTTGGCTTAATAAACCCTTTATGAAGATAATTAGGGAGAAACAACTTTTGCTGGTAGAATACAATATTGGCCTTTAAAAATCACTAATAGGCGCCAGGCAGTGGTGGCACACGCCTTTAATCCCAGCACTTGGGAGATAGAGGCAGGCAGATCTCTGCGAGTTTGAGGCCAAGCTGGTCTACAGAACAAGTTCCAGGACAACCAAGGCTGTTACACAAAGAAACCCTGTCTAGAAAAAAAAATCACTAATAGGCTTAGAATTTATAGCAACCTATTTATTTGATACTGTAAGCAAGAACCAGAATACAAGACAGGAGTTAGTTTAGGAGAACATAAATTTTAATTTATGTTCCTAAGAGAGCATAAGTCATGCTCTCTTAAATTAAAAAGTATTTATTATTGTTGTTGTTGTTGTTATTATTATTGTGTGTATGTGTGCTATGGCACAAGTGTGGAGGTCAGAAGACAACATTCTCTTCTTCCACGACAGGTTCTGGCGATACAATACAGATTTACCAAACTGAACAATCTCACTGGCTCCCTGTGGTGGTTTGATGGAAAATGGCCTTGATGGAGGAAGGGTGTCACGGTGAGGGCAGGCTTTGAGGTCTCTTTTGCTCAAGCTTCCCTCAGCATAACTCTGAGTCGATTTCCTGTTACCTGCAAGCTGTAGCATTCTCAGCTGTAGCATTAAGTCTGCCTGCACGCTGCCCTGCACGCTGCCACGCTCCCCATCATGATAACAATGGACTGAACATCTGAACTGTAAGCCTCTACCCCAATCAAATGTTTTACTTTATAAGAGTTGCCATGGTCATGGTGCCTCTTCAAAGCAATAAAACCCAAAATAAATCACCCCCTATTGCTCTTTTAACAAACAGATTATGAATACATTCAAATCACTTAGTACAACGTGTGTGTGTGTGTGTGTGTGTGTGTGTGTGTGTACATATGTATGTGGTGCACTTTGTCCACGCATATTTGTGTAGAGACCAAAGGTCAATGTTGGGTCTCTTCCTTTATCATTCTTATTATTCTTTTTTTTTTTTTTTTTTTTTTTTTTTTTGGTTTTTCGAGACAGGGTTTCTCTGTGGTTTTGGAGCCTGTCCTGGAACTAGCTCTTGTAGACCAGGCTGGTCTCGAACTCACAGAGACATTCTTATTATTCTTATATTATTATTTTTTTATTTGAGACAGGTGGGGCTTCTCATTGAACCTGGAACTGTTTCAGGAAGACTGGTTGGTCAGCAAGCCCCAGGATCTTTCTGTTTCTGTGCCTCCAAAGCTGATTACAGGTGCCTACTGACATGCCAGGCTCTATATTGGTTGTCAGGAGCTCAACTCAGGCCTCTGTGTTTGCATGGCAAGAACTTTATCCAATGAGCTATCTCCATAGCCCACAACTCACCTCTTGAAAGTTATGTTGTGTGAACTTGTCTGCAATCCTTAGTAACTCACGACAAGAATGCGTGTCAGCAAAAGCCCGAATGCCCAGGCAATTAGAAGGGTCTAATTGTCTCTTTAAGAATTCACAGCAGGCTTCCTGTATTTCTGCCAGCTGGAGGAGGCAAGCAGCAGGCAAGAGGGTCTGAACATTGCCTTCTTCCACAGTTATCTGGGAGGTATATGCGAAGTCAATCAGTAGTTCCATAGCCCTCTCATCTATGTCTCGGATCACTACTTCTGTCTGGCGGCTTTCGGCCAATTCTCCTGTAAACATTGCTCGAAAGTAGGGACTGCAGGCCGACAAGATGACTCGATGGGCATATATCTTCTTAGCGCCCACAACTAGCACCACATCACATAACTCTCGGTGCTTTCTCAGAAGGTTGATCACTTCCAAGGTTTGCCGAGGGTGCTTGTCTGAGATATAGGGCATGCGAGCAGGTTGGGGAACCCCTTCTGGCAGCTTGTTGGGGTCTCCAAGGGTGCAGCGGCTTGTTACATCCATTCCAGTCTCTCCTGGTCGAATGTTGGTACACCTACAGGAATGAGGGAATGGAGAGAGAGGGAATTATTATTAGCTCTTTTCTTGCTCTAAGATACTGATAAGTGGTAAGAAAACTTGAAATTGCCTAAAGAAAGAACTCTAGAACTCATACATTTCTCCCCAGGTTATTAATTCCATTCCAGGCTACTTTTATTATATAATTTCATGAAAAAGGTATTTTTTCCAGAGGTATCACACTATCTTTGTCCACATTACTTACATTAATAAATTTGATGAAACGCTGACAGGGGAGAAGAACCCGTCAAAACTAAGACTGTCGGAGAGAGCCCTAAGCAAATCTGTCATTTTGCATATGAATTAAGAACTAAAATATCTGTAGCCTGTTTTCTGCTTCCCTCTGCTGTGGGATCTGTGGACACAAAGGACTCTGTGCTGGGAACCTACTGGTGCTTGGTGGGCTGATAGACAGGGAGGAAATTTTCCCTATAGCATGCTGGGAATTCTGTCTCCATGTCCTGTTAGAGGAATACCTTATGTGGATGAGATGCTGCCCGAGTTTTGAGTTGTGTCTAGCCAGCCATCTGTGAGCAGAGTCCTGCCTGCCTTGGAGTTCATTTACCCTCTGACCTCTTGTGGCACCAGAACACAATTTCTTCCATGGGTACCCTCACTGAAAGTTCACTCTCATATGAACCCATGATTTTCGATATCAGAGCTTATTTCCTAATATCATGCTCTGTTTGAAGAAAGTATAGATTTAATTTACAGTGAATGATAGAAGTTCATATGGGGAAACAACCCAAGGACCACTAGCAATGGAAAAACTCACATCAAACCAGGATGTCATCACGAACATTGTTCCGTTGTTGGATTATCTAAATTTTCTTCTTCAGTCCTAAGTGGAGGAAGGCAGCTATAAATTTGGATGATTACGGCTGCCTTAACAACCTTGTACCAACTACATGAGGATGACATCATCTCTTTTAAGTTGGAGAGATGCCTATTTTTTCTTTCCCTTTTCTTTTTCTTTTTTTGGTTTTGTTTTGTTTTTCGAGACAGGATTTCTGTGTAACAGCCCTAGCTGTCCTGGAACTCATTCTGTAGACCAGGCTGGCCTCAAACTCACAGTGACCTACTTGCCTTTGCCTCCTGAGTGATGGGATTAAAGACCCCAGTCAGCAGCTTTTTTTCAGTTTTTTAATGTGCTTTCTTTTTTCTTTAAGACAAGCTTTCTCTTTACAGCTCTGGCTGTCCTGTAGACCAGGCTGGCCTCGAACTCAAAGAGATCTGCCTGGTGCTACTACCTCCTTAAGTGTTAGGATTAAAGGCATGTACCATTGCCAGCTTGCTCTAAAATGAGTTTGTTCTTCTGTATTCACTTACTAACTCTGTATGTTTAAAAAGGAGTTTTCTCAAACTTATATAATTGTAACAGGTGATTTTAAAAAATAAAGGTTTGAATATAAAAAAATAAAAATTTAAAAATTCGTGAAAAGCATTTAAAATTTGTTTCTGGAAAAAAACCCACCCCTCCCAATAAGACAAATCAGACATATAAAACTGTTTAAAGACTTTGATTATGTTTATTTTCTTTAAAGATTTTTATCTTTCACCATGTGGAGTCTGAAAACCAAAGCAAAACATCAGACTTGCATTTACACACTGAGCAGTTTTGCTGGGTGCAAATTTCAATTATTTTTTTAAAAAGTTAATTACTTTTTTTTTTTTTTGAGACAGAATCTCTGTACATAGACCCGGCTGGCCTCTAACTCAGAGATTCATTGGGCTCTATCTCTGAGTACTGTGTTTAAAGGTGTGAGTCACTTGCCTGGCCCTAAAATTTTTTCTTAAACTTAGTTTGATTCAAATCTTGATATGTGTTACTTTCCTAAAGTAGTTGGCATTGACTTCTCCTTTTCATTATATTCACTTTTATTTCTAGTTACAGTTTAGCACAAAGTCTGTAACACAGAGTTTATGTTACATAAAAAGTCAGGAAGAAAAGAAGACAGCCACAACCCCCCAAATTAATACAGTATATTTAATACTCTATTTCTTTGACTTAGCTTTCAAGGGATGAGCTATTACTACAAATGACATGTAATTCATCTTAGGAAGTCTTATCAGTCAGGCATGACGATGCATGCCTGTAATCCCAGTACTTAAGGCTGAGCTAAGCCGATCAAGGGCAGTCTTGGCTACATAGCAAATTCTTGTCTCAAAAACAGTGCTATTTAATCTAATAAATATGTGTCGAAAATATACTGTCAATTATAATGGTTCTAAAGAACTTTTTAAAAAGTCAGCACATACCCGCCCACATACGCACTCCAAATCAAGAGCACAGTTATATAAAGAACAGCATGCCAGCCTGATGCCGGGCAACTGCGGAGAGCCACACATAGTCAGAGGGTGCCGCGACCTCTAGTGAGAGGAAAGCTCAAAACCCAACTGTGACTAATAGTGAAGAATTACGTAAGTGCGAGGTTTTCACCAGTAAGAGAAGCTCTGAGTAACTTTAGTATTGTGCCTACATTTCTAAAGTTAGGAAATCAGTATGTCCTATGAACAGGGCAGTTGGTAAAAAACTACTGTAGATTGCCCATCAAAAATGAAAGAATAAAATGAAGCATTTATTTTATTTATAGGCAGAAATGAAGAGTGTGAAGTAAGAAAACTCCTTTCCATGCCTAAATCTGGATTTATTTTCTCTCATCAAGTCTCATACTCAAGTACTAACACTATTCTGCTATAAATCTTGTATTTATCCAAACTTTTTAGCTATGATTAATCATTTTAATTATTTCGTTCTGTTCTGATGTGTTGAAACTGGGTTTTTATATCCTAGACTGGTCTGGAACTCACTCTATAGCTCAGGTTGGCCTTGAACTCATGGTAATCCTCCAGCTCCAACCTCCCAAGTACAGGCATAACAGACATGAGGCATCACACCTGGCTTCTAGTTTCTTTAACCTTCAGCTGGTATCCACTGCACAAAGACAGGTAGGATGATGCTCAGAAAGCTTCCCATCTCCTGCCTGTTACACACTTGCAGTTTTACATTAGAAATATTACTGTAATAAAAACATCTAAATTTCTCTTAAATAAGTTGGTTATACTTATCCATATTAAAAATTTCTAGCTGGTCTTTATGCACTCATGGTATATAATGCTAAAATGTTGGAAACACATTAACTTTCGGACAGAGGAAGATAAAACAATTACATACCCATGCCCCTTTTTCCTGCTAAAATCTTATTGAAATAAAAAGCACTTTTGTTTTTTAAGATTAAAAAAAAATTTCTAGCTGGGTGTGAGAATGCCGTTAATCCTGACACTTATGAGGCAGAGACAGACAGATCTCTGTGAATTCTTGAGCAGATGGAGGCAGGATTGCTTTGGGTAGATTTCAGAGCGAGACTCTGTCTCACAACACAAACAAAGGCTGGCAAGATGGCTCAGCAGGTTAATGAGTTTGCTGCCAAGCCTGAGGAACTCAGTTCAGTCCCGGGCACCTACATTGGAGAAGAGGAGAACCAACTCCTGCAAGTTGTCTTTTACTTGTGTCCTATGGCAAGCGCATTCATACATATACAGATAGAAAAATTAAAAGTACTATGCTTAATATTTAAATTTATTCTGAATTAAGAATTCTGCAAGTCCTTGACCAATTTGACAGTGTCAGGTATGGGCTCCATCTCATGGAGTGGACCTTATAGCCAATTAAAAAGTAGTTGGTTACTCCCAGAACATTTGTGCTACTACGGTACCAGTATATCTCGAAGGCAGGCCATTGTTGTAGGTCACAGGGTTTGTAGCTGATAATACTGATGATTACTCTTTTTCTCTGGCAGCATAAAAAATACTTTCCAGCATCATGCATTCTAGTCGGTAGGGATGAAATTTCTAGCTGGGCACCAGCTAGAAAGTCATGGTCAATGACATAAGTAATGTATCTCCAGCAATAGGGCCTGACCAGGTTATAGAGAGAAACCAATATCTTGACAACAGCCCGTGATGTTTGAGTGGTGGTGGTGGGATCTATGGGACCCAACAACTCAACAAGATGTAATCCATTCCTGGTACTGGAGGTTTTACTTGGTGGCATAAGTTGGGCATTGTCTCTCCCGTTATATACTGATTCCATTTAAATTCCTTTTGTATATGTATATATTTTTAGGAAGCTTCTACAGTAGTAAGCTTCCATACGGCTTTTCAAAAAGCTTTTTACTATTGGTTGTTCCTTCTCATATCCCTACTTTACCCTCATCTCCCATCCTCTTCCCCATATGATCTTTCTATTCTACTTTCCCTTTTATTTCTTTATAACACTATTGGACTAGACAGATCACCGGCCCAAGGGAAAAACTACTATTATTCTGCTAAAGGCACATAGCAATAAAATGACTCCTAATGGCATACTGCTATGCCCATAGCTCAGCCTTCATCAGAGAAGCTGCTTTCTGTAGTAGACAATAATTAACACAAAGACCCACAACTAGACAGAGAGTGAGAGACTTTGGAGCTCTCAGCCCTAAATGGGTCTTTTTTTCAAACCCCTCCTTAAAGACTCAGGGATCTATTGGAAGAGGAGGCAGAAGGATTTTGAGAGCCAGAGGTGGTAGATGACTTTAAGCAGCATCTCTAGACACAACAGGATGGATGCACAAATGAACTCACAGACTATGACAGTACACACCAGACCCACACAGGTTCAAACTAGACAAAATCCCAGCATGAGAAGGGGAAGTGGGTAAAGTCCTACCTCTAACCAAGAAACTATTTGAGATTGATTTCTGCTATGAATGGTAAAATCAGTTTTCTCCAACGATGTGTCACTGGGTGTACCAACCTCAATCCAGGGCAGGTCCCATGGCCAGGAGTAGTTGGCCAACACACGACAGACTCCATGTTTGTGTGTTTGTGTGCTTTTTGTTTTTGTCTTACTGTTTTGTTTTGATTTTTGTTTTTTATTTTTTTTTCAGAGAGGAAGAAAATGAACATGAAGTTGGGTGAATAGGGAGGTGGGGA